CCAGATTCCAGATGTATGTTCTAGTCTATGGATTTCCCCTTTAAATGTATCCTCACCAAAAACAAAGAAAGCAAATCTAGCATGATTTTTTTTTGAACCCATGGTAGCTTCTACTAATCAGACCTTTTTTTAATGTACAGGAAAACTCTGTTTAATTTTTTTTCTTTTTTTTTGGGGGGGGGCAGGGTACTTTTGCCTAGAATGTACATTAACCCACTGGTTTAGTTTGTAGACTCTGCCTTACTCCTGCTTTGAAGAATTGAAGCCGTATTCTGGGTACATTCTATATTCTAGCATTTTCCCATCTTTTGTAGATTTTCTGTAATCTTGCATACATATTGATTTACTTCTCATTGGATATTTTTTACTTAACGTGCTTGTCATGAGCTCCATTATCTCTGCATTCATTTCAGCTGAAAGAGCCTCTTAATTTAGTTTTGAACGCCCTTGTTGCCTTTGATCAGGGTGCATAATGTCCATTCACAGACTATGTGACTATTTGCAAATATGGTAGTTTGTGCTGACAAGCCATGGCCTGAGTGGCAAATACACACACAAATACAAATTACATCTGTGGATTTGGGTATGAACTGTCCTAATTAGCAGACAGTCTGCTAGGCAGTCAATACCCAAGAAGCGTAGATTGAGAAGTAAGAAATATCTTTTCTATTTTGGTTCTGCTCTTCATTCTGGATAAATTATTCATTCCCTAGAGCACCTTTATAAAGAACAGTGGCTGATGATTGTGTTTATCTTTACATATACATCACAGAGCTTATAAGAACTGTTGAGCCTAAAATGACTGAAACATTTTTAGCACTAAAATAAGATATATCGGTATAATGGATAGTATGCAAAAACTAACCAAAAGACTATCTTATTCTTTTTAGAAGAGAAAATTTCATTCCATTCTCATAAAAAGTATACCTGAAAGTGCCCATATAATATCATATATTATTCATATAGCATCCTTTTAGCATAAAGAAGGCTATCTAGTTGAATAGTAATATTGAAACACTGCAAAATTGAGTGCCTTTCTTACCTGCCATTAGTTCACATTTACTTTCATCGAATTCATGGGGCAGCTGCATCACTGGAAATGCCTATTTTCACTGACCACAACTTCAGCAAACAGAGGTGCTGGTGTTTCCCTCAACCTCTGGGCTTCTGTGAAACTTCTGCTGAAGTCTGGATGCACATGGGTTGAGGACAACTGGTTCCATTGATCAGGATCTGGTTTCTTTTGCTTTACTTGACCTGGGCTTGCTTAGCTTCCATCTGTCTGTCATCGTAGAACTACGTCCAGAGCCAGCTTATATGGTATCCCTCGGGCAGGAAGGTTAAGTCCCCTGACATGAATTGCATTCAGCAACTGAATAAATAAGACAGCTTGGAGATGGGCTTTTATTCTTAGGAAACCAGATAGCCTTTTCGATGATAAAATATTTATTCTCTATTATCTTGCTGTTGCCAAGACTACTATGTATAGCCCATTGCTTAAAAGGAGCTGGAGTGCTAAAGAGGTTACGGTTATCAGTAGGGTATATTTTATTTTGAAAAATACCTTATATGACATTCTATCGCCCAGAACTGAGTGTGGTCTTCCATTTAATGTTGATTGAGATCACAGCATGGCCCCCTTTAAGTCAATACCTTTTCTTCTCCCATTTAATCATTAGTTTCTGCTGGGAAAGATCTTTAAAGCTTAAAACAGTGCAGCCAAATGTGATCATTTTTAAGGCAGCTAAGTGAATTAATCAGCGTAAATGGGTGTGGGTGTTTATGAAAATCTAACTTCTCCACACAAACATTTTCTAATAACTTTATTTAACACACTTTTGTTATTTTAACTATGTAGAAAGGACTAGCTAAGCCCTGTGGGAGATCCACAATCTCTGATTAGTGGGCTTCACTAGCAAACATATACAGATCATTCTACACCATGGTAGGTTCTGACAAGTGCTGTGATAGGAGTGCAAAGCCCTAACGGGCTATGGAATTCTGACTGGGGTTTCCCAGGAGGACTTTGAGGAAGTGCTGTCTTTGAGTTGGATGCTGATGAATAATAAAAGTGGGTAACATTTATTGAGTGTTTACTAAATGCCAGTATGTTCAAAGGACATTTTATTAATTCTTTTAATTCTTATGATTAACCTTATAAGTTAAGTCTTGTAATTCCTATTTTGTAGTTGCATACACTGAGGCACAGAGTAGTGAAATACGTGTGCTAAAGTTCGTGGAGCTAGTAAGTGATGGAGGCAAGATTCAATTTTAAGGAGCCTGGAACCAGAATACTTATTATCATAATACCACACTGCTCCCTGACGGGGATAAAAATATCACCAAGCAGATGAAGTAACAGGAGCAGCTCAGCTACAACCATGGAGTAGAGGAAACTCAGGAATGTTAAGAAAGCCCAAAGCCTATTAGGGAGGCTGGAGAGAAAAAGGAGTGTGAAATATAAGATATACGTGGGATGCCAGTAGGGTTGGAATGTAGAGGGCTTTGAATGTTGTCCTGAGGAACTGCAGTGGGGAGCAGGGTAGGGCCCCAGTAATATTTTTGGTACAGGAAGAACTTGTGAAGGGGAGGGTTGAATGACTGAAGAGAAGGACGTCATTTAGGGCTCTATTAATTAATGAAATCATTCAAAAACTAATTTTTTTTAGATTCTTCTATGTGCCAGGCACTGTAGTGAGTGTTGGTATATAATATGGAATAAGGGAGATAAGATTGACAAGGTTTCCAACTTCATCATGGGAAAGGATGTGGACAATATGTAAGTAAATGGATAAATAAGCAAGATAGGTTTATATAGTTCTAAAAGAAATAGGTTCATGTGATGTGATGTGATAGAAAGTGAACATAGGCAGGGGAATAGCAACTTTGGAATCGTGGGCAGGAAAGGCCTCTCGGAGGAGGTGACATTCCTCGGTAAAAGAGGAGTCAGTCATGGGTGAAGGCAGGCAAGGGTTCAGCCAAACAGGATTTGAGTTCATTAAGCATTCCAAGCAGGGTTAGCAAATGCAAAAGGTCTGGATTGGGAAGGAGTTTGGAAAGCTCCAGGGCCAGGAAGAATGCCAAAAATAAGTGCTTAGCAGAAGCTGGGGATCCAGATAGAAGCCTTGTAGGTGAGGATAAAGCATTTGCATTTTATTCTAAATGAACTGGGATGCCATTGGAAGGTTTTAAATAGGTGAATGGCTTAATCTGTTTTATATTTTGAAAAGATCACTCTGGGTATTATATGGAGCATGGATTGTAAGGGGACAGGAGTAAACGCCGGTAGATCTATTAGGAGCCAAATGGCTGAGGTCCAGACAAGAAAGAGATTATATGGCCTACACCTTGAGGGAAGAGAGGCAAGGATGGATTAGGGCTACATTTTGGAAGCAAAGCTAAAGAGATTTGAATTAGAGGACAGATGTGCGAAAAGGAGAGATACCAAGGATAATTCCAAGAATTTTGGCTCAAGTAAGTGAATGAAGTGGTGCCAATAACTGAGATGAGGAGAACTGGCTTGGGGAGGAAACATGAAGAGTTCTGCACTGGGCATAGTGGGCAGTTCTGGGGGTAACTAGGGCACCCTCTTGGAGGATACCAAAGTATGGATGAGACAGATGGGTACAAGGGAGACTGCAGGAATGTAATTAACTGACCAATCTGATTAGATATTAGGGTGAAGGTTTTGGTAACTCCAGGTTTTGAGTCTGAATAGGTAAAAAGGAAACAATCTCACTAACCAAAATGGTAAGAGAGTAGGAGGAGTTTGGGGAAGAGAAGACTTAATAAAGTCCAGGAATCAGGAAAAGAACCCCACTTGAATAGTGGAAATGTGCACAGGCATTGGACTCGAAAAGACTTGGGTTTGAATCCTAGATGATCCATTTACCAAACCTGTGTAACAAGTTATTTAATTGCTGTAAAGTGAGATAAATGATTTGGTAATGATAGGATAGTGATAAAGATTAAATGAGATGATATATGTGAATGATTCATACATAGGAATCATGCAATAAGTAAACCACAACTTTTATAATTGCCACCAAAATAACAATATAACAATACCTTTTGGAATGTGTTTTATTTATATTGATTATTATTAAGATAATAATGTTCTGGTTAGTAGTTCCTCTTAACTAAGGCTTGCAAGTATATTAGCCCAGATTTTAGATTCAATACTCCTTGTTATATATAATCATCAAAACAAACTCGAAATTATTTACTATGTACTTTTCCCAATTTACAGGTAAATAAACTGAGGCTCAGAAAGGGTGACATGCCCAAAGTTACACAGCTAGGAATTGTAGCCTACCTGGAAGGGCCAGGAATCACACCTAGACCTGACTTACTCCAAATAAGGGAGTAGTCCTCCCTTTTTCATGGGAGATACATTTCAAGACCCCCAGTGGATGCCTGACATCACAAATAGAACCAAACCCTATATATGTACTACATTTTTTCCTATGTATACATACTTATGATAAAGTTTAAACTACTCTTGTGCTTTGGGGCCATTATTAAGTAAAATGAGGATTACTTGAACACAAGCACTGCGATATCGGTGATAGTCGGTTTGATAACCAAGATGGTTACCAAGAGGCTAAAGAGCATGTAGCACACGCAGTGTGGAGATGCTAGACAAAGGGGTGGCTCACGTCCGCGCAGGATGGAGTGGTAGGAGTGAGATGTCTCACAGTACTCAGAGCGGCACGCAGTTTAAAACTCATGAATTGTTTGTTTCTGGAAATGGTCATTTAATATTTTCATACTTGAGTTGACTGTGGGTAGCTGAAACCATGGACAGCAAAACCATGGATGTGGAGGGACTACTGTGATTCTGAACTCTTCCCCAACTAGTCGCTTGTAAGATACAAACATCTTTGTATTGCATGGCCAGTTCCCTGGGCCCTATGCTAAGTGAATAAATCTGTTTTATGAAAGTGCTATCAGCAAACCTCCACTGTGTTTTTCACTGTGTGTCTCGTGGGATTTTCCAGTGCTGGACAATGTTCGTCTCAAGGCCTGTCTTTAGAGGAGATGAAGAGAAGCCTTCAGTTCCCGCCCATTGACAAATACGGTAAGTGTACACATTCTTCAGATTGGTTAAGGAAATTGCCCCAGGAAGGGGATGCCTATTTGATAATAAAGGAGAAAAAAATTCTGTTTTGGAATAACTGGAAATGAAGGATACTTTTAAAATATTACAAAAGTGCAAACTTTGATCTTGTAAGTTGTACAAGTCTACCTTTACCTTTGAGTTTAATCGTCTGTGAGTATGTATCGACGTAAGTGTGTAGGTGTATGTGCTAGTATGAAAGAAGAAAATGGGAGCATGTTTACACATGGGAAAAAGGACGACTCTTCTCAGGAAAATAATCTCCTGCATCTGGTGACATTTCAAACACATTGTTGTCACCTTATTGAGTCCACTGCCTCAAAGCCCCACACCACAGGTGCGTAGAGAGGGAAAAGAAAAACGAGAGATGAGTTTCCACAGTGACATCATATGCTGGGGGAAAACTTGCCCTTTAGCAAGTACCCAAGGGTCAAATGTGAACCCAACCATTTCCTCAGAAAGCTGGAGAGGAAGTGAGGCTGGCACTGATGGGATCCATTTTGCACAGGGCTACTTTAAAAAGACTTAATAAAGCTCTTTAAAAACTGTTAACACAGTTTTATGCAGTCCCCTGAAGCCTGAGGACGGGCAATCGCCCTTATCATTAGCTGCCATATTAATGTGCTAGGCCTGTGATGTCCTTTTTCCAACCTCTAAGCCTGAGAGGCTCTATATTTAATTGGAATTTTAGCACAATGGGCTCATTTATTCATGGGAACTCTTCTTTGACAATATGGAGGACTGAAAAAAAATGTACGTCAGTTAAAGAGATCAGATTTATTACAAGAACTGTGTTTGGGGAAGAATAAATTGGGATATGTATTCCTGGTTCTCTGATTTAAATGGCAATAAAACCTGGAGACCCTCAGCTTTGGGATCCTCATCAGTGCACCTCATCTGCAGAGCATCAGCAGAGGAAGCTTTTGAGAAAGAAAGAAAGAAAGAAAGAAAAATTGTTCTGGATAGATACAGACAAACTACTCGGGAACATTAAAGAAAGGAAACTTTGTACTTCTGCCTCGCAATATGTGCCTAGAATGCAGCCGAGTTCTTTTTATCTTCAGCTTTACAATATAATTGGCCAGTCCAGTAACAGGGGGAAATGTGCTCTAAGTGTCACATCATCACATTTTTTTTATAGACATAATATCATTTTCTCAAACCTTTACAGATGTGACTGCACAACCACAAAATATAGGGCACCCTTTGAAACGTGTGTTTTGACCAGAAGTCTTTCCTTTCGTGCTGGAGTTTCAAGATGAAGCATTTCTGTAACTTAACGATCTGCTTCTTAAAGGAATAGGGCTTTGAGCAGAATCCCTCAAGGTGGAGAAGTAAGACAAAGTCATGCAATAGAACAAAAGCTGGGTTTTTCTATGCATGTCTGCACCAAGGATAGAAGAAAACATTAGGGTGTTTGGATGGAGTGAGAGCCCCAACAGACAAAGGAGATTATTTAATATCTCCCACTAGGAACATCACATAGTACAAGCAAGAAACCTTTAATTGCCCCCCATTTCCATTTCAAAAACCAATTGTGGTATAACAGCAACATTATGAACTGTTTCTTCTGCCCCTCACACCCCAAAGAGCAGGGCTAGAGAACTGAGATGAAATTAAGTACAGCGCTATTTTCTCTGTACTTGAGACCTTTCACCCTAAAGTAACAAAACGTGCAGACATGGTTCCATCTTTGCCTAAAGCCTGTGGTCAGGTTTCACTGGGGTCCCTCCTAAGCTGAGTGGCTTTCCAAGTGCAACACGTCTGCCCTTCAACTCTGGCAGTGAAGGCATCAATAGTAAATGTCAGCATCCATGCCCTGCTGATTTTGCTGCATCTCCCCAAAGCTCACGCTGGAAGGATGTGCGCTCACAATCAGATTCCCATTGGAGTCCTGTGGGGCGATAGGCGTGGAGCAAACTAAGGCAGTAAAATCACATTAGAAGTTATATTAGAAGGTTGTCAATTACAGTAACAAAGGGATTACGACCTTATCAAAGCATCTATCTATGCCTGGAATGAAGCAGCGGTTTCAGGCTAGACCCAAGGAAATGTTTTTGCCCTGAGATGTAGATTTTGCTTGAGTCCACCCAGAATGAGGACTTAGTGATGTGTACCCTGCTTTCCCTCATCTCAGCTGCTCTCTGTTTCCTCAGATCTGAGCAGGGCCAGCCCCACCCCAGGTGAGCAAGACAGGAGCGTCAGCAACAGCACCAGCAGCAGCGCCATTTCCTCTCAGGGGAGTTTATGTGCTGCCTAAGAGATGCTGACAGAGACCTGTCTTATGAAAATAAATATGCCTGTCCAACTGCATATTGCTAGATGTCTTGATGAAAATGGAGATGGCTGAGTTGATTCTGAAAACTCAGCTATCAAAAGTGAGCAAAAAGCAGCAATAGCTATTGACAAATATGCCCATTTTCACAGAAGCAACGGACAGCTTCCTTACTCGGAGTGGAAAGGTGACTGCCTCCCTGCACATGTCCTCTGTCCGCCAGGACAGTGGCCTGATCCTGAGCCACTAGCTCCATTCTCTGGACATACCCAGGGCTGTTGCTTCAATAAGCATCAAATGCCACTGGTATTTAGACCTGAGCGTTGATATGCATTTATCAACTGAGCCCTTGGGGAGGAAAAAAAACAACCAGGCCAACCTGCTGTAACCAATGGCTCTTTCTTTTTTCTCTACTGCTGTCTCCACCTTCCTTTTTAGGCATCATTTGTTTGGCACTCACTACGTGCCAGACACGGTGCTAATTGTCTTATGTGTGTTACCAACCTTATGAATAAGTGCTCCTATTTCTCCCATTTACAGATAAAGACACGGAGGCTTAGAAAGGTTAAGGTGACAAAAGTCACAGAACCAGGAAGTACTGAAGCTAGCGTTTAAACCCAGATTTGCCTGACATGAAAGCCCATGTTTCTAGCCATCATGATATACCTACCACCTTCCTGAACAGTACACTTCTTTCCTCCAAGCTCAAAATGTCACCTGACCAGCATGGGTCTAAATCAGACATCCATCATTTATGTTCCTCTGGTCTCAGCTCTCTCTGTTTCCATTTAAAATTTTGCTTTTATTTTTACAACTGCTTGCCAGCAACTGCTGTCCAGACTCTATTCACATGAGCCAGGAGAAGCTGTTTGGCAGCTGTGCATTACACTGTGTGAGGCTGGTGAAGAAAAATGGGGAGATGGACGGAAAGGCCAATAAGTAACAGCTGGACTTCTTTTCTCATGCAGGCTACGTGTCGGATCCCATGAGCCCAATGCATTTTCATTCTTGCCGGCATAGTGGCAGCTTTGAGGACAGCAGCTGACAGCACTCCGCATATACCTAAGGAGACTTTTCCCTCACACTGATAGCAACAATTCCAACCATGGCAGACTTGCTTCCAATTATAATATTTTACCCCCTGGGTCTCCTTAAATTTGTGTGTTTGCACTGGTCCTATTTAATTCCCAACCACAAGTTGGGCTTTGGGTTTGTGGCTAAGGAATGAAATGCAAAAGAACCAAGACAAAATGTATTTGAAGAATTGGTTTTAGTTTTGTAAATGAAAAAAAACAAAAACACAAATGTATATTGGTACGTGGATATGGGGCCTTGGTTCATGGTGGGCACTTAACAGTTATTACGTTTTCCTAGACTAAATTATGTAGACTTGTGTTTGAGAGCCGTGGGTTTGATTTCTTAGAATATTGTTCATTTTCTTATCTCATTATGTTACTTCTTCTGTCCAGCGCTGTGATTAAAGATTCTTTGGTGGCAAGCAAAATTGATTCAGAAGTGTATTTCATTATAACAAGACTGCTATGGAGTATACCTTCTTTCAGACGTATCGGTAGAAAGGGTTCATGACCTTCAGATCAAGAAGCGTGCAAAAATCTAGCACTTAATTATTTAGCTTCCTTTCTACACCATACCAAGTACTTTGTGCACTGTTTGGGCAACCTGTTGCTGTCAGCTTCAAGGTGTCGTAAATGCTGTTGGTGTAGTTATGAAACTGGCCCACAAATGCAAACCTGCCATTCATACCAGAGTCTGGCACAGTGCCCTGGGAGAGTATCTGAGGTACCCGCTGCCTTCAGAAAATGCTAAATCTGCCCTCCATGCTCATTCCAACCAGGAAGACAGGAATGCTTCTACCAAACAAAATAGTTCTGCTATTAAAATACAGACTTAGAAAAACCAGGCAGGAAACCATAAAAAATCAGAGTGATAATTACTGCTTTTAACCTGGGTAAGAGAAATAAAGTTAGCAAAAGAAGCTTGGGAATCCTCTAAATCAAGCTCTTTAGATCTCAGCACTGTTGATATTTTGGAGGGGGTGATTCTTCATGGGGGCTGTCCTATGGACTATGGGAGGTTTAAGGGTTTCCTGGCCTCTACCCCCCAGATGCTAGTAACAGCTCCCCTAAGTCCCACAATGTCTTTGAAAGTTTCTAAGTATGTCCTGGGGGACACAATTGCCCCAGGCTGAGAACCACTGCTCTAAATCCTGAGAGGACAACCAGGGGCCTGAAGAGCAACGGAAGGAATGTGGACCCTGACCCCAACTGGCTGCATTTAGGGAAATCTTGCTTCTCCTCCTGTGTAATGTGGACTCACATACATATGGAACTGACTAGAAGTGCTGATTGCTCCTTAGATGCCTGCAGCAAGCTCTCCCGTCCTTCCCTCTCCCCCTACCAGTTAGAAAATGTTTCTTGTGAGCAATTTCTATCAGAGCAGCAATCTGACTCAAAAATCTCTTTGAGCGTTTTCATATGACCAGTGTTTGCAAAGTTGTAAGCCCTCACATGCTCTAAATAGCTTGGGGATAGCCCAGTGTGAGTCCAGAGGTAGAAGTTAAAACCATGGTACTTCCAGGTGGATTTATCCTTTTTTTGAGTCCCCAGCCTTTTTATTTCCCCACCCAATTATTCTGGAGTCACAGCTACTCTATCCCACCAAGGAAGTTGCCAAGGGGCTTTATAATGAACAGGACCAAGGAGCCTGAAGTGGCTTCTTGCCATAAAGCCTTCTGGCAAAGCAGAAAAGCAGAAAAGAACGGGCTGGCTAAGGAACACCTGCCTCCACAGCTCTCCCTCTAGTCCTCTGCCCTGCTTTGCGGAATGAGCCAGCACTTAGCCTGGGAAACTTTGGGGCCTTTCATGAGTTGAGTTTAAAGGAATACCTTAGAAAGCTAAAAAATGTACATACACACACACAGACACACACACACGAGGCCTGACAATTAAGTTTGCGAGCTCGTTGCAACCATGTTGCTAACATTTTTTGATATCAGAGGGATTATTCATTATGAATTTGTACCAACTGGACAAACAGTTAACCAAGTTTACTATTTGGAAGTGCTGAAAAGGCTGCGTGAAAAAGTTAGATGACCTGAACTTTTCTCCAACAATTCATGGCTCTTGCATCACGACAATGCACCAGCTCACACGGCACTGTCTGTGAGGGAGTTTTTAGCCAGTAAACAAATAACTGTATTGGAACACTCCCTACTCACCTGATCTGGCCCCCAATGACTTCTTCTTTTATCCGAAAATAAAGGAAATATTGAAAGGAAGACATTTTGATGACATTCAGGACATCAAGGGTAATATGATGATAGCTCTGATGGCCACTCCAGAAAGAGTTCCAAAATTGCTTTGAAAAGTGACTAGGCACTGGCATAGGTGCATAGCTTCCCAAGGGGAGTTCTTTGAACTTAGTCACTTAGATGCAACCATAGTGATATTCAGCAATGAGGTATGTAGCACTTTTTCTAGGATGAGTTCACAAACTTAATTGTCTGACCTTGTGTGTGTGTGTGTGTGTGTGTGTGTGTGTGTGTGTGTGTGTATGACACACAGCAGATAGAATGTCGAATGTGTGTATAACCAGGACAGTGCTGCGATAAACCAGGTGTCCACCCATGTTCCCATTGAATGGAGGTCATATCCTGAGGAAGGGCTTCTGAAATAACCCTCTTTTTTTCTGGGGATTTTTCTGGAGCAAGTTTGTCAAGCTCCCTTTCTTTGTTTCCTTTCACTAACCACCTCCTCTCTCCACGGTGTATTTCCTTACGTTGCTGCTTCTCTCTGGCTCTTGTCTTGTCAGGCATCGGCAAATATTGAGACTAATGTGTCTTGATTCCCGAGAAAGGGAACCTTTTCACAGATGCCAACCCATAGCTCATAAACCCTTTTCATTACTGCACCTTTAATGGGGCCCAGGGATCATTGTACAGCTTGTCTTGGGACCATGGGGTTGTGTGTGTGTGTGTGTGTGTGTGTGTGTGTGTGTGTGTGTGTGTGTCTCCTTCTGAAAATGTCTCACTAATTGCTTTCTTTTTCTGCTGGTAAAAATGAACTTCTATGGTCATGTTTTTGCATGCTTAGCACATAAAAATTTTTTCCATGTGATGCAGCACTGAGCTCACTTAGAAGATGTTCAATTAGCTATAATTGTAAGCCACATTACAGCAGCACCAGGAGAGTTATTCCAACAGAGTGATTATTTAGGTTAAATTATTTCCAAAGCTGACATTTCCCTGGGAAAGGCCAAAAAAAAGAAAAAATAATGGATCCTAATGGTAGGAGAGAAGGCTAGCACTAGGCAACCCACCAGCAATGAAGGACCTGATTTCCTTCTCACTGTCTTGCTCTCTGTCATTCTTACCTTAATTTCTTTCTTCCTTCCTTCCTTCCTTCCTTCCCTCTCCCTTGAACAATAAGCATTGACTTTTGAGTCACTTAGACTCAAAGTTGAGTGACTTTTTTTTTAACAGTAGTTGTATGACCTTGGGCAAGTCATTTCACCCATCTGAGCTCCAGCTTCTTTTCTGTAAGATGGTGATGATAAATTTTAGCATATAGAGTTGCTGTAAGGATTGCAAATAATGTAAAGTGTTTTCTATAGTTCCTATAGAACTATAGTTTCTATAGTTCTATATATCGTTGTAAATGTTGTAGTTCACTGTTCCTCTTGACAACACCAAGCAGCCCAAAAGCCATACTACAAAAGGAGAACATGAGAAGGGTGAACAGTTTTTTTCTCTCCTGTGGAAATAACCATCAACGTGCCTAAAACTCCCACTTTTGCAAATAACCAGCTGCCACGCTTTTACTTCTCCCGCACTTTGAGCCAAGTATCAGCGGCCTTTGGTAGCGATGTCTTATTAACACCTGATATAAAATCCACAGAGAAATCAAATCATTTAATTCAAATACAAGAACCAGAAAGAATTCTCCAAATAAGAGGGATGCTAAGTAAAAATATAAAGAAAACACATTTATTGAGCACCTACCATGTGGCAGGAACTGTTTTAGGTGATTGTAAGTTATTTCACTTAAGTCTCTAAATAGCCCTGGAAAGGGAGAATTTTTTTTCTTTATTTTTTCAAATGAGTAAAGCTAGTGTAAAATGGAGCCAGTTTTCAAAACAAAGTTTGTCTTGCTTTAGTGTCCATGATTTTGCTCGCTACACAGTAATGCCTTCATTATGACAGAGGAAAGAGAATAAAAATAGCAAAGGCTCACAATTCAGAGTTGTGGGGAAAACAAATAAATCTGCAGTCTGCAGTCTTGAAGAAAATTTGGGTAGTACCCCAGGAGAAGTTTCAGGCACCAGAAAAACAAACCTTTCCTGATTGCAATGGCTCATTATTGCCAAGTAAAACCAAGAAAATAATCACCATCACTTCTTCTGTTTTAATTATGGAAAAGAAAGGGGCTGGAGTAATCTCAAGACTCAAAAAAACATGCATTGTTATTTTCCAGGCAGAAAGAACCAGAAATGATTGACAGAAGCAAGACTCTCACCATGATAAGCAGAAACAAAATAAGTTAGGAGGGCAAAGCACAGCAATTAGGGAAGCCAAGGAGTTCCACATTTTCTCTCCTCATTAGCACACTGGATAGGGAAATAAGGAGAGAGGGTGTAGCCATTACCAGGAGGATTTGAATACTTTATTCCTGCTCAGTTTTGTGTTGCTTGCAGTTACTCAGGCATACAGACTCAAGAGCTCCCCCTGATCAATTCCCTTCCATATTTCAAGAGTCACAAGGGCAAAGATGAGCCATTTGACATTTGCAGTTTCTTCACTGGGTATCAGCTGAAGGCTCAACAGCCGCAGAAACAGACTATATGGGTCCAAGACCATCAGCTCAATTAGCACCAGACGCAAAACATGATGGAGAAGCAAAGTTCCTCTTCCCTCCTTGGACAACCTACCTTTTACGAGGCTAACTAGAAATAAAAAGAGCAGGGGGTTGCACATTTCTCCTCAGGCCAGAGATCCAAAGCAGCACAGCAGCCGACCCAGTGGCAGGGTGCTAATTAAATTAGGCTTCTTGAATAATACACTGCCACAGGTGCCAGGCCCTACTGATGAGGACACGGCTCCAAAGCACTCTCAGTTTAGCTTTATGTTTAATTAGTGAGATAAAAAGAATGTTATCTCAAGTATCTGTCTTTTAAGCAATGGGCTCATGTGTAGAAGAAAGGTTTCTTCAGCCATCTTTAAAGGAGGTCTTGAAGTTCACGAATTTTACTAACCTCCATCTCTTCTTCTATCTCAGCAAATCAGGAAAGAGTAAGATTCCAGCAAGACTATAAAACACAATAAGAATAATTTGAATGTTGGTCTGCCCTTCAGTTTTTACTCATAATAATCCATGATCTGCTTAACACCACTTCAAAAATTAATCCACAGTGAAGACTATCAAGTTCTTCTTTCAGGATTTGTTTTTTTTTTCCCTTTCCCATTCCCAAAACGCAAATTAGTCCTAA